CCAACAGACACACTTAGCGAATTATATTAAGTAGGATGACCTCTACCCAGCAAGGTTTGTGACTCAATGAAAGATCCTCTTTAGTCGATATCATTTGCAAAAAAAACTTATACGACCTCTAATAAACTGGAATACCCATAATGAGCTCTGACAAGTTTAAGCATGCCAGTATGCATAAGGCCGTACTCACTCCATTCATTTTTTCTTACCTCCACGCCTCTGCTAAATCAACTTATGAAGTCATATGGGGAGGATCCCTACTGCGAGGCGCTTCCCCCACCGCCTTCAGTTCACTTGTTGAACTATCCCTCCTTTTTGCTCATTTTTCCCGGCATCAGGACTGTCACGAAACCTAATTTGTAAGCTTTGTCTCCCTGTGGGAACAAAACATTCACAAGGATGGGCGGTGTCATGAGCGAACTCATATAGATCACATCACCTCCATTAGAAAGTTCTGCTTATGCGACGTAGTGTTATCCCGAAGTTCTCGGATCGAAATATCGTCCCTTCCGCGCTAGATTCTGTTCTTCAGTGATCAGGGAGAGAGCTGCTAAGTTCATGGGACTGAACCACACGGCAGTGATCCAATGTATCGCTAGCAAGGTTATGGTAAAACTACGTCATCACTGGATCGACAATATCGATAAAAATGCAACTTGCCTGTCGAATACAATTCTCACTTCGCTATAGTGCTATAAAAGTAGATTGTTTGCAATAGGTGCAGAGACGAATCTTTTTGAATACACTCAAAATGAAACCCCTGCTAATTATCAACGAAGGTCAGAAATTATTAAGCTATGCAGAAAAGCGATAAAGGAAGATCCAAAGCAGAGAAAAGCGGCAGCTCTGGCCACTTGCCGAGCCTGAAAAAAGTACTCACAAGTCATATACAAGTCCGAAATGACTTCACTTTGTCGTCTTGACGGAACAGCTACTGCATCTCGGAAGGCAATGGAGAAGGTCACTGAGAACTACATCTCAGATCTCTTAAACAGCCGCGTCTATTTGCCTGCCTACCATCTCGAGCAGAATGGACATGTCGTTGCTTCAGTTTTCCTTCACGAAATTTGAAATGCCGTCACGTCGGTGAAGATCTGCACGACGCAAATCCCGATGACATTGGACAGAACATTTGAATATCCACCAACGGTAACCTGTTCACGCTCCTCACACCGTACCTGTCCGAGTGCAAAATATCGAGCCGAAAAAAAATTGCAAGGTTGTGTTGCTGGTAGGGTTTCGTGAAGGATTCTGCACAACCGATCTCATCTACACGGTCGCGAGATGCTATTATGTCTCACGACCATCGATTTCAGTAAGAACGTGACAGTGCCCTTCCTAAAATCGATGGGCGCGAGGCATGATTGCTTTTCATGACAGTGTAAGCAAGATTGATTGTATTGAACCCCCTACGAAACTCTACCGTGACACAAACTTGCAAAAAGCCTTAGGCATATTCTGCCTTTTTCTACTCAATACATAAGAATGCCTCATGAGTTTGACAGAATTTTCACCACCAGGATTTCGCTTTACAAGGGAGTCATCGTCAACGCAAAAGAATGGATTAGTACCTATCAAGAACGCCAAGGGAGTTGTGAAGAAGATAAAGAACGTCCAGCTAGCGCTCACTTTGACGCCACGGTAATTCCTACTTACGGTTCAGAGACTTGAGCTCCATGTAAGCAAGGTTAGCACGTAGTCAACGTTATTCAACGTGCTGTGTGAGGGATAACACTCGAAATCTCCCGTTGCGCCCAAAAAGAGAATCCGAAGTTCCAAACTCGGTCAACTGACGAAGGTCAAGGATACTTCATGCTTAAATGTGATGACTGCTGGATTAGGTAGATTTTCGATAAATAATCGATTTGAATGTTTAGAACGGAACCTCGCTATAGACTTTCTATTTTATTGTGGAATATTTTATCATGACGTTTACATTTCCACATATAAAACGATGCAATAAGACAACTGCTGTACATGAAACAACGTTCAGATGCCCATGCCTTTCACCAAAAAAATCGTTTATAAAACAAAGCATGAACGCAGCAATGTAATTCTTGTTGTGCTAGGTAACGTTGTAGCAATTAGTGAAATTAACGAGTTTCTTGTATATTCACCCAAGTCTTCTTTTCAACTCTTCGAGTATTTCTCTGAATCGCTGCTTCATTTTTGCCACATTTGCATATGTACTATCGAGTGCCGCCAAAAGTTCCTGATAATCACCTGAAGTCCTCATAAAACTAATGAAGTTGATTCGATTTAATGCGGAGTATCTTCATTGGTTACAACGAAAAGGCAAGGTGAGGTGATCGCTTGAAGTGGTTGTCCATCTCATTAACTCAGCCTATACCGTTTTTTTCCTATTCAACTCTTCAATAGCCTATATCATTTTGTTCTGTTGTGGTCTATGAAACTGGTACGAATGATTGGTAGTTCAACAACTTTCTTGGTAGAAACGGATGCCCACGCAGCGTGCTGGTTCTTTTTCTTTTGTACTTTCAGGAAGTGGGTTAATAACTCAAACTACAAGGTAGATGTTTTTCGGTCCAATATTATATTCTTAGTGAAGTGCTGGTTCTGAAGAGTTACCTTTAAACTCTGGAAATGAACATTCTGAGGTGTAGTACGACCGCCGGACTCCAAGATTAGACTCCAAAGATATAACGCTGAACCATGAAAAGATATGAGCCGCTTATTGGAACTAGGTCAGCAGTCACACAAAATAGTTTTCAATTTTTCTTCAATAACTTTTTTCAATATCGACAATTTCTTTATCCTGTAGAAGTTAGAATGGGCCGAAGTAAAAAAAAAACGATGAAATCATCGCACGCAATATACAAAGAAGAATTTTGCGAAACGAAAGCCTGGAAGCACGTATAGTATTATATCCACAATGAGCGGAAATCTTAGAGGCGCAGTAAGCACTTTCACTACTGACTCAGTGCTCTTGAGTGCTTCACTCTTGGCATCTACTTATGTTCAGCTACGAAGCTAGGTCGTTCATCATTTTAATCTTCTCGATCCACGTACAAGTAGCTAGACCGTTCGCAGATATCGAGCACAACACTTGACTCCCGTTCGCAAAGAAGCGCCAAGTGGCAATCTGTTTCTGTTTTTTCGATACTTGATGTTGTAATCACGATTACGATTGCGTAGCCAAGTTGGTGTAATTGCCTCCGACCTGGCAGGGCCACATATGGTCTACGAGGACCCGGAGGGGGGGGGGGGGGGGAGGGTACAAACAGACAGACATTATCGGCACATCATATGAGACCATTCCGATCGCCCGACTCGAGCCGGGCTTCTCTCCTTCTTGTCACCAAGTCAGAGTGATGGGATGACTCTCCTTCTCGGAACAGATGATCCACTTCTGACTACAAAACATTCGGAGAATTCGGCTATCTGCGCGAGCACCTGTTGCCCTCAGTATAGACAATGATATCACATTGAAATCTTCATCCCTTCGTTCATCGAAACTACTAGTCCACCGGAGTTTTTGCAACTGAGCAACTCAGTCAGTCAACCGAAGGCTCGAAAGACACTTTCTTTGCCGAATGATCATAACAACACAGTCAGGAATCATCATTCATAGCCCTTCTCTTCTACATGGACATAACTCACAGGCAGAGATTCTCAAATTACTGAAGGTCGAATGAGTTTTGCAGCAACTACATCGGACTTGGAAACCTCTTAGCGCAGTCGTCGTAATCTATAATAATAGCGAAGAATTACTTCTCAAAGTAGAAAATCTGATCAATCCTTCTTATTTCACACGCCATTTGTTTATGATAGGTCATTCTGATATCCCTTCTCCTTCTCGTAGTCGTAATGACGGAACAACATGACGGAGTTACGGCACCTCGAAGGGCAAAGGGGAAGGTCATCTACGGCTCCTAATCGATCTCTTCGACAGCCGCATCTACCTGCCTACCTACCAAGCAAGAGAGACATATCACTCCCTTGGTCCTCCTTTCCAAAATATTACATACCATCTCGTCATCGACGTGATGGCGCATCTAGAGAGTCTTCCACAAGTTGTCGTCAGAACTCCCAATCTGCCTGCTGTCTGTAATGGTCTAGCTTTTCACACGAGTCGTCCTGAACAGGATCGACAGGATATTAAATGAAGGGCAGCAACGCGATCGAGTATGGTTTCGGAGAGGGTTTAGTACAATTGATCATATCTACAGTGTTACAAGAGTCTCAGTCTCATTGAAGTATCGCGAGAATACAGGATGCCGTTGTGTCCGACGCTCACCGATTTGATCAAGAACTTTGATAGTGTCGAGACAGAAGCGGTAATGGAAGCCCTGGGCAATCAGGGCTCAATACATACCTACTCAATACATAAGGATGCTTCGTGAGCTCTACGACAACTTCACGGCCAGAATTTCGACATTCTGTAAAGAATGTCATTGTCAGCGTGAAAAAAGGGGTTCGGCAGTGCGATACCACTTCACCCAAAGTTTAAAGTGCTGCGAGAGTATCATTCGTAATCTCGAATGGGAAGACTTGGGAGTGAAGCTCGACGGCCGCTACTTACATCACCTACGCTTTGCAGTGCTTATAACACCGAAGATAGACCAGCAGGAACGAATGCCGACCGAACTTGACGACCCTTGTGGAAAGATCGGCTTAGAACTGAACTTACCGAATATTGAGAATATCGCAGGAGTAGTGAAGAAGACAAAAAACATCTGGCTTCGCGCCCTCTTTTTCGGAAAGCTTGTACTTCTCGGACGAAGCATGAGGATGCTCTCAGCATCACTCAACGCGCCCTGGGTAGGTCGGCATTTTCCTATGAACGCGAGTGCAAAAGGGAATCCGGAGTCTCGTCAACGAACAAAGATCAGGGATGCCGTTGCTCACCCCGAAAAATCGAAGATCAGGTGGGCCGCACACGTTATACGATATCGTAACGACTGCGGATCAGGGCGGTTATGAATGCGAGATGTCAAACGAACACCAAGACGACCGCCATCGCATGGTCAGACTTCTTTACGACTCCTCAACAAAAGGAATGCTGTGCCTCGTTCCCCTCAACTATGCATTGCCCAGGGACGAATGGAGACGTTGCTGGCGCTCGCAGAGAATCGATGATCAACGATGGAAGGATAGGTGATACTGGTGATCGCTGCCCATGGGTGGAGGTGTTGCAGTGGCAAGTGGTCACACACGCATGCTTACGGTTATGAATCCCGGATCGATATCCGTACAGGCCAACCAAGACTTTCATCTCTCCGAGGTACGTTAAACGGTACCAGACTCGTCTGGTTGTGAGGGAATGAAAGCACTGACTCGTACGTCGGTTGGCCACCATAAGGCACTGTATAATCTACGTACGCATTCAATATTCGATTCTGAAAAACAGTCGAACGCTGGGCGCATGCCACAGACGGTTTTGAATCCCGGATCGATATCCGTACAGGCCGACGCCCCAAGACCTTTATCCTCCAGCTTTTCTCACCCTTTTGAACATCGAAATGTCAAGACAACATCTTGTACGTCAAAGGGACTTAAAGGCAATCAACAAATGTAAACAATATCGATAAAGCCCACTTCATCCGTCAACAAAATGCCAATTCTCCACTCCTAAAACGATGGTAATGAAGACTCGATGGTCCTTACTTGGCTTCTAGTCGACCCTCATCTCTCGCTGACAGTCCTTCTCACCGAACATCTACGGCCTCTTTACGCCCCACATCGCCTACCAATATTTTCAACTTATGCTATATACCTTAAAAGAATGACGGACTCAGCGCTTCATGTCTTCCAAGGTTCCTTGCAAGCCACTATTAATTGTTATCAATAACTGACACCAAACATCCACGATTTATCCCACATTACCCAAAAAAGGTCAAGGTTGACAAGGGACCATCATCTACCCACTTCCTCTTACTTTCTATTGCTCCTTGTCAACTTCTGTTGGTTGTCATCAGTCTCTGTCCGAAACATCTACTATCCTTCTATACTCTACCTACCGAATGTCGGGGTTTCACCATTAACATGAAGGGCATAAGGGATGTTGCGGTTCTTGAAACCTAAGGTTTCGCATCAGCCTCTATTAATTGTTATCACTTTCTGTCACCTACGATCAGTGTTCCCATTACCTTCACCTATTATCCTTTCCAACGATTGAAGATATTCAAATAATTGAACAACCCTTACAATCAAATTTTAAAAATCATCCACCAGATCCTATCATCGCATAATCACTGCAGTGATGAGACGTTTGTAATAGGAAAGAGAAGTGATCAAAATGTCTTAAGCCACGCACTTATCGCTCTGGGCATCGAGTACCGAGTACGATTCATCTCTTTCCAACGAGTTTTCTGTCCCATACGGAAACTCCTCAAATGAGGATTTTGTATTATCGGGTTTCAGGTCGAGAGCGGGATTTCCATCTTCTGAAAACGCTAAATAATGTTCAAAAGAAGGATCATCACCGCTACAAGCTCTTGTTTTATGGGTCAAAAGCCTACAAGTCAGAAAAATTGTGCATTTCATCCAAAATGGATTTTACTCTACTTGAGCACGATTCTTACAGCGTCTTGTTAAAATAAATTTAGGAAGGTACGACATGTGACAGAGACAAAGAAGGTAGTGGGTGACACTGACCTGGCTTTGACTCTGAAGTCTTCTTCGAGATTTAGAGTAAAATCCAGGTCAGTTTGATTGGAGGCTAGTTCAGATTTATTTGTCTTTGAAGCAAAAATCACCTTGTAATGCTAGAAGGAGGCTCGCTTGAGAACATGACTGCCAGGATTCAGAGAAGAATTCCGAATGGTCAGTGGCATCCCTGCAACTGATGCCACTCAGTGAACGAGCTAGAGAGACGAGGTGGGCCATATGGCGGCAAATGGTTACGCTCTATTTTCGATCATTCAAATATTTGATTTAGCAGAAACAGGTTCATACATTTCGTAAAAACCGTTAATCTCAATATGGCCACCGCTGAGCTTAATATGTAGAGAATGGCGAAGAGCCGTCAAGTGGTCAAATTGTTAATACCATGATCTACTCGTGGTATCGATTTGTGGCACGTCGAGACGCCCATATAAGGGCGCACTGCCGCCATTAGTTCTCATTATTAATTGTATCTTTTTCTTCGGGAGTTTCTCCTGCATTGTTCCTTTTGTTTTTTTTTTGTTTGGATAAAGCGCTTACCCTCGTGCTCACCGGGCCCACAAGAATCCACAAAACCCTCATGGGGGCCGAACCGAAGGACCTGGTCGATAAGTGAATTTCTAGCACTAGAAGCGGAGTTACCCCCCAGCTTCTAAGAGTGCGACCAGCTCTTGTGCCGTCAGTCGCGGTGAAGCTGGATAGCTGCCGTGGGGTAGCACCATTGAGAGCAGTGGACGATAATCAACATCGATCCATTTGATATCCTAGTGAGCGGGTAAGCCATTTTACAAGGCCGAACTCTGCGCAAAATTTTTTTTGGCAACTAGCCTTGTAAATGTGTGCATCAATCGCGGTTAACCGCTTTAGCAGGCTTAGGCGAGGTTCAATCGCGGTCAGCTGCTACCTCTAGTTGATGCAAGTTCAGTAGGCGCGGGAATGGCGCGAAAAAGGCATCCGCTACACAACCACTGACCGTTTGATTTATAAGTACTAGCTAGTAGATAGTTAGTTACTTTGGAATTTGTTCGATTCCGTATTCGCATAAATCGAACCTTTCTTCTCTCGTGGCGATATTGGATTTGTCGGATGGACCCACATGGGGTCGCAAGAGGCGTGCCATGCAGGTCGAGAAGGATCATGAGAAGGGCGCCAAGATCAGCCGCGACCTACTCAAGAGAGAGGACCTGAGGATAGTTTGCGCGGGTCTTTTGGGTATAAGTAGTTGAGGTATTTTGTTCAGAGTATTCGGATCATTTCTACCATAGAGCCCAAACCTCGTGGCCGCCGCCGACGCTCGCCCTCCCCAGGAGACGCCTCGCCCTCGTCGTCACCTTTCGACAGTTTTTTTTGTTCGACTATTTCAGTTATTCTCCTTGTTATTGTTTTTTGTGGTTACGCCATAAAACTTGTATGGTTTCGCGTTTTTGTTCCGTGCAATGTCTAGAACTACCCTTTGGACGGCTAATATAAACCACATTGGAGCCGAATCGTTCCAATAGGACCGTTCCGTTACCCGAGCATTCGTTCGCCTACTATTGAAGTGGAGTTGCCGAGTGTAAGGGTAACCCAGTAAAGTGAAGTGGAGACAGCCACTGTATCCGGGAGAGTTTGAGTTCGTGCTGCCGTCACCGTAAGCAAGGGTGATCTGGAGGGAACAGCACACAATATTATTGAAACTACCGTTCTGTTCTTGCTCGTTCTCACGGTTTCGTCATTGCAATTGGCGACACTGAGTCACGAGAGTACGGTACTCTGTTGCAGAGCATGACGGAAACGGAGGTGGTCGCTTCGATTCAGTAGAGAAGGAAAATTTGGGAGGGGTGAGTTTCCCACACTCGAGTTTAGTGTGTGAGCCTGGAGGAAATCAGGATCAATATTGAGGAAATCCCCGTTAAAATGCGGAAAACGATGGATGAGCATAAAATTTGGGCCCGGTATAAGAGCATGAAGAGGCTCTGAGGAACGAATTAGACAAGGTGTCTGAAAAACTGAGGGCGGCAAGGGGTTCCCCACATATTGGACAGCGTAGTAGAGGAGACTCTGAGCACGAGGGGAATAGAGACAAGAGAGGAATGGCAAAACTATATAGAGACAATGGAAGTACTTTGACAGATTTTTGTGATGAACTAAGTGCACTTCAGCTGGTACCAGCGGTTAGGAGCTTGAGAAAGGCTGCCTCAGGGCTCCAATCAGAGATGGATAGCAGGTTCGACCACGGAGTTAAGCATGAAACTGGAATTATGGATGCTGACAGCTACACGGAGTTGTCATTACAGAGGTGGAGGGAGGAAGGATCGCCGAATGGGGTGCGTTCAGGGACCAGCTCGAGCTCTTATGCGGATCACTCGGCAAAGGGAGCGGCCAGTACAGGTCAGGATGCAAACATATGCTCACTGAATTACGTTCAGTCATTGTCTTGTCCAGACCCGGGTGTTTTCGAAGGGAAACCATACAAGAACTTTGACGAATTCATCCAAAAATTTGTCAGAAATACACTGAGGTTGTGGCCGATGACAAGAGCTTGATAGAGATATTAGGGNTACGAATACAGTGAGAGCTCTTCCAGTTAGTAGTGAAAAAGAGGGATTTGAAGAGGTAGTCAAAAATTTGGGGAGGTTGTTATCGAATACTGCGTAGCAGAAAGAATGAGAGCCCTGACAGAATTGCGAACCCTGCGTATGAGACCTGGTCAGAGCGTAGCAGAATTCTGTGTGGTACTGGAAGACTTGGGCAGAAAAGCGAACCAAAACAGTACGGAGGAAGCTAGATCTCTTGAGAACGCCCAGATTCTGTTAGAAAACCTACATGAATGACCCGAGTACGTGCATTTGATGAGCACCCTGAACCGAGCTAGTCCGGACAGGGCATATGATGAAATTAAGCAATTAGCTCAGGGTATAGAACAAGCAAAGGCAATGTGTGGTAGAAAAGGTTCCGAGCCTTTGAGGTGGAAATCTAGGCATAGTACTTATGCACATAGGACTAAAGATGAACCGCGGAACAGAGCGAAGGACGATACCTCAGGATTCGAAAAGCGATGGCAAAAAAGTCGGCCATCATTACCCAGTATAGAGGGCCAAGACTACGAAGGAAGAGGAATAGTGGAAGAAGCTGTTTTGCAGGAAGTGTTTCAATTGTAGGACTTTTCGCACAATGTCTGAAAAAACCAGTGAAGGTACAAAGCCCCAGAAAGGATAATGCGGATAAAACCGCAGTAAATGCGAATTCCGTATCAGATATCATTCGTGAAGTGCGTTGTTGTAGCGTGAAAACGCACGAGCAGAATAAACGTGACGACGCTCAGACAACTGGAACGTTGATGCGCAGAAACTGTACTTCTGACGATAGAGTAGACACACGAACCTCTAGAGGAAAAAAAGGTAGAAAAAAGGCCGTAAAACGAGTAAGGAGTTGCAAACTGACTGCAGCACCTTTCAGTGGACCATCACTGTTGAGCCCCCTGGAGAAGGAGCATCTGCTCTACAAGTGTGCGGATGGATGCCAGAAAGTAGCGACTTGGGGAGACATCGAAGGAGTCTCGTTTCCCGGCGCAGCAGCAAAGGACGAAGTTGGAAGCCTGTGGAACGCATGGTTGGCCTGCAGCATCTTTAGGAGACGCGACATCGACGTTGGGAAAAAGATCAGACTTCACCGAGAAGGGCCGTGTGCGGGGACGTGAGCTTGCTGCAGATCGTTCTGAAGTTCGCCTATGCAAGATGCATCGATTGGACGGACTTCATATGCAACACGAAGGAGATTGCAGACCACCCCATTATCGAGAACCAGGATATTCGGCATGTGTACTCGGAGGCGCTCAGAAAACTCAGAGAGGACATTGAAGAGCGATCTGTGAAAGAGGAGCAGCCGAAAAAGGGACCAGTCCATTACGCCAGTTTTGAGGAAGCCAATCCAATGGAGAGAGATGGAGTTCGAGGAGGAATAGCCACAAAGGTCGTGCAAAATTTCGACCACTTGGTGAGAATACTAGAAGACTGGAAATCCTCGAGGACGTGGGTAATAGTGTAGCCTCAGGACTAGAACTTGAAAAAAAATACTTTGGCCGACTTGATCAGATTGATCAAAGAATTCATGGAGAGTTCTGATTACTGTGTGGCCACCGATCACGTCAAGAAACCGCAGTAATTGGTTCAGCATGATGGACATGTGGAAACATTTAGATGAAGCCTTAAGAAAACTCGACGATAAGCAAGCCTTCTGCACGGCAAGTAGCAAGATTTTTGATGGAAAATTGTTCATAGAGGCAGGGGCGCCAGGAGGAAGGGCTCAGCTTTACAGCAACTATATTGGAACAAAACAAGTATACGAAGCAGGTATACGAGGCAGTAACAAATCGCGTAGAAAGAGCGAGGCTGCCGAAAATAAAAAAGCCGACATCGAGNGCAATGTCTTCCCGGAGGGAGGACATGTCGGATGGACCAACGTGGGGTCGCAAGAGGCGTGCCATGTAGGTCGAGAAGGATCATGAGAGAGATGCCAAGATCAGCCGCGACCTACTCAAGAGAGAGGACCTGAGTAACGTTCGCGCGAGACTTTGGGTATCAATAGTTTAGGAATTTTGTTTAGAGTATTCGGATCATTTCTACCATAGAACCCAAACCTCGTGGCCGCCGCCGACGCTCGCCCTCCCCAAGGGACGCCTCGCCCTCGTCGTCACCTTTCGACAGTTTTTTTGTTCGACTATTTCAGTTATTCTCCTTGTTATTGTTTTTTTGTGGTTACGCCGTGAAACTTGTATAGTTTCGCGTTTTTGTTCCGTGCAAGGTCTAGAACTACCCTTTGGACGGCTAACATAAACCACAGATTTTCACAAAGAAAATTCTCGTTTCAGATGATGGCCGAAAACGAGATTGATAAAGAGATCGAACAAATGTTGTCATTTGGGAACAGGGACGATGATCGGGTCAAGAACCCTCAATCGCAGGTGGCAATGCTGGTGGAGCAAGTAGAAAAGCTCGCACAACAGGCTGCACAGGTAAAATCCTCAGTGTCCATTATACAAAATGAGGTGCAAGCGCTGCAGACATTGCCAGAGCGAGTCCAACAAGGACAATAGAACACGGGCAGCAGAAAAGAACCGTGATGAAGTTGCTCTGACAGTCTCAGAACCTGCAAGTGGCAGCTGTGAAATCATAAACAGAGAAATGCCAAAAATTAACCAAATGATAGATCACCTCCTTCTGTCGGAGAACTACAATTGGGAACAGCTGATAAGTGGCCTCAAAGAACTTCAGGCATAAGCACTACAACGATGATCAGTGTATGAGAGAATTAGCGCGCATTTTGTAGCGTCAACTGAAGTTGTCAGCACAGTAAAGAACTGTTTTGGCAAACATGGAAAACACAAAGAGCCTTGTTCGAAAACCCTGAACATGGCCCATCGTGTCGGGCGTGAGCGATCTGAAAGTGCTAATAGGCAACTGCTTTACAGAGAACAGCCAATGGAAGTGGATAACCCAAGCACTAGCACAAGCTTCAGAAGTGCCATGAGCCAAGTGCGAGAACGAGATCGCGCTCCGTTTGCAGAGCTCACGCCTTTCAACTTAGCCGAAGCTGAACGAAGTCAGGTCAGTCCCTTCAAAACAGTTAGCTATAAAGACTGCTCTCCGGTATCTTAAAATGACGACGTTGAATTCGCTAATAATGCCTTTACTTTATACAGTCGTCACGAGGGAAAGAGAGGCCAACGACCGCACTACGGAAGCAGAGCAGCCATGGTGTGCTTCCATCAGTTTCCCTGTTTCCACTGCAAATGAATGTGGGTATAACTTTAGCGGCTATGGCGTTACCGGAAGTACCCCCTCCCTTCTCACATCCTCAGAGAAAGGGGTTCGAACATTTCATAACTTTTTTTCATATGAAATATGGTGGATTAGGCCTACAATATGAGATGCTCATTCACCTTATGTGTTCAAAACTGCAAGGGTATCAGAAAGCAGTTGTGGGAACTCTGCCCCGTAGTCTGAAAGAGTGTAGTTATGTTAATTTTGTGGAAGCTCTGCGAGCCGAACTCAAGGAAAATGAAGTTGCTCAACGCACAGAGACATACATAAAGTTGAAACAACTTCGAAACGTTCATCGCTAACAGATTACTGTCTTGAGCTTGAGGACTTAACTCGGAAAGTATACCCAGATGCGAGTGAAAAAGTATTATCCATGGTTCGCGCAGGCGAGGCGATAACACAGCTCACAGAATTGAAGGAATGTGTCCAACTCTTCAACACTCTAGAGCAATCCAAACAGGAAGAAGCCTATGAGAAATTTAAAAACCTGGCACGAAGCATCGAGCGAAGCCAACAAGTGGCTGAAGCGGTGCGGTTCTCTCTCAGAGCAAGCTAGGGAAACAACTTGAGCTCTAGACAAAGCGGAAACCGCGATCATATTCCTTCTGATAGTTACAAGAACGAACATCAGCTTCATACCGTAGCATGTTCGTTTTGCAAAAAGCGAGGGCATTTCAAACGGGATTGCTGGAAGGCTAGAGGTGCTCGCAACAAAGAGTGTCCGTTACCATCTTCAACACCAGGCAACTCTGCACCTTTCGACAGACAATCTTCCAGCTGTAATCAAAAAGAGCAAGGCCCAAAAGTCCAGACTTTTACCACAACACTAGACAAGCGGGAATGTGGGGAGATCCAAGTAAAAGTGACTGCACAAAATGAGCTCTTCGGCAAACAGACGGTAGCCAAAGTAGATCTCTTGAGCATGTCTAGAAATGCTTTAATGGACGCTAGATCCCAAATCAGTATTCTATCGCTAAAATGCTGCGAGAAGGGCAAAGAGCAGGAT